TTGTAATTTTTTCTACACTGTAGGAAAAAAGGGAAACAAAATTGATCTACCAAAATGTCTGAAGATTATAATATATTTGCTCTTGTTTTTTTTACATTGCAAACTATTTTTAACATTTTTTTAATTTCAAAAATTTAATATATTCACCTGCTTCAGATGTCAGAAAGTATAAAAATAAAACACTCCTTTTTTAAGATGTCTGGGTCCACCTCATTCCTCCACCCCAGGTCTCCCTGTTAATTTTGAAGGTGCATGGACTCCTTTATAGCTTTAAAGGCTCTTAATGTACATACAATGAAATATAAAGAATTTTCTGTTTCTCTGTCCACTTTGCTGCACACCATTCTTTCAACTAACCAATGCATCTTTCTGTATTGATGTGTAGAGGGTATGGAATGCTTTTACACATGGAGTAGTACCCTAGTAAATGAATAACTGTACTTTCACACTTCTCCATAGGTACACATTCAATTGTTTCCTATCTTGAGACAGTATAACCAGTGCTGCCTGACTAAACTAGAATATACATCTTGTCGCTCCTGAGCTAGCATGTAGGATTAATCACCCAAAATGGAAGTCCTCGGTCAAAAGCATATAGTTTTACAATTTTGATAGATGTTGCCAAATTGTTCTCCACAAGATTCTAACAATTTGTGCTACTTCTAGCAACATGTGAGTTCCATTTCTCCATAGTCATGTTAATAGATAGTGTCATCAAACGTCTGGTTTTTTTTCCTACTAGGTGAAAAAGGTATAGCAATGGTATAGCAACAAATGCTTTATCAATAAAAAGAACATATCAATGTACTTTCTTTTTTTTTTTTTTAAAGATTTATTTATTTATTTATACAAGCACTGGGTACAGTCAGAAGCGCAGGAGGGTGAGAGAATTCACCAGAGCCAGAGTGGGGAGCAGAACAGGCAGAGGGACCGAAGCACACTGCTGAGGGGAGCAGCGGGCGACAGGGGAGGTCTGCGCGCCATGTGGGACCCTCCTCCGGTGGCTGGGGAGCAGCCGCGGATCGAACAGGCGCTGCAGAGGCTGCTGGCAGCTTCGCAACCCAGCGCTCAACCGCTGCACCACCTGGGGAGGCCCCATACCAAAGTACTTTTAATGTGCAGTTCTTATGAATGAAATTGAGAGTTTTTCCCACAAATTCTATAGAAATTTGCATTTTTTGGTGATCTTTCTATTCAGAGTCCTTTGATTATTTTTCTATGATTAAGAAATCAGTTTCTGGGAAATCCTTCTACATGAGGAAGATTTGTCCTTACCTGTTCTTTTTTTCCTGTGGTTGAATATTGAACCATTCTTTTCCTTAATGCCTCTAGATCTGGGGACATAGTTAGAAATACCCTCCCAGTCATATGAAGGAATGAATCATTTTCTTTTAAAACATATTTTTTTTTTATATTTGCATTCCTATCTTTGATTCATTTAGAAATAATCCTGGTTTAGGGTGTGGGGTTTGTATGTAATGGTTCCCCCAACTCCGTCATAGTGCTGAATTATTCATAATCCTTTCCACTTATCTAAATCTCCTCCAAAGGTATCTCTCAATCCACAAAGATTTACTTTTCAGAATTGTCATGGTACTTGGGATTTTTTCACTATACTGTTATTTTATGATAGTAATATATGTGTGTGGGGTTTTATAATTGAGTCTTCTCCTACATGGCACCTCATCTAGATCCTTATTCACTACATTTTAAAGTGAAGAACCTGGCATTGAGATTACGTGCATTTGAAGCAAAGAGCTATGACTCTGGAAGTGTATCAGTTGCACACTAGGGCTTTGTGTACTTTGAGAAACTGAAACATCTCTTATCACTACTCTTCTATGTTTTTTACTTCCCTGGAGGCAAGGATAGACTGTTTAGTGTGCTAGCGTCCCCTGTTAATTCTCTGTTCATTTTGTTAATTCTCTGTTCATTTGTGTTTACTCCAAAAACTGGATACAGGACTCCTGGGCTCCTTTTATCTCCCAGTTTTCTAAAGCAGTGGATACTGTTTCTATATGGGAGAAGCAGTAATAACAAAAATCAAGTTGAGCCAGATATTACAAGGGAAAATGCAGTGGTTTTCTCTCGAAAGCCTGAATTTGACTTAACTTCACTGAGACGGAATTCAGGTCTAAGGAAAAGCATTTATTTACCTGGCTATTGGGACACAGTTATTCCATCAGGCAATAAAATGGGGTAATAGGAAGAATTGTGAATAGGATTTGACAACAGGTATTCTATTATCACCTAGGGTCCAGTTCTCCAATATCTGGTCATAGCCCCATAAATTTCTTCTAAGACCCTTTTTCTTCACCACTCTCAGTTTATGGGCTTTGGCTCCAGAAACCCAAGTCACCATCAGTGAAAGCACAGCATCTCCCAGGCCATGGAGAAAGGTTCAGGGAGGCTCATTGACTTGTGACAGTCAAAAAGATGCAATGAGATCCAAATGCAGTAGGTCGAGTAGGAGACTGAGCATGAGAGGATGGAAGGCCGGAGCTTCTAGCCACAATGTCACTACACAGAACCTGACAAGCACATAAATACACAAAGGAAAGAAAAGTGGAAAAGTTGGAGAAAAAGTCGATAAACTTGCTGGCAGTTGTTCACTTCTGAGTATAATTTTGCTTAATGTCAGTTCCATTTCTAGGTTTTTCCTTTTTTTTAAAGATTTATTTATTTATTTATACAAGCACTGGGTACAGTCAGAAGCGCAGGAGGGTGAGAGAATTCACCAGAGCCAGAGTGGGGAACAGAACAGGCAGACCCAGACCGACAAAATACACTGCTGAGGGGAGCAGCGGGCATGGTAGGAGAGATCTGTCGTGCCATGTGGGACCCTCGCCAGCAGTCGGGGATTGAACCGGCACTGCAGAGGCTGCGGGCAGCTTCGCAGCCCAGTGGCTGTGCCACCAGGGGAGGCCCCACTTCTAGGTTTTTCAATTAGGTGCCCTGACCAGCCCTTCCTCCTTTTTATTCCATTTGTTTTAGCCAGTTTGAAGGAATGCACTCACTAGCCTGGTTGCATTTAGACAAATCATTTAGTACTTGAGTTTCTGTTTCTCTTCTGTAAAATAATTTGGGCCAAGATTACTTCCAGTGCTAAAACTATCAGTTGAACTTTCCTCTGTGGGTAAACTATCAGTCCCAAAGAGTGTGTGGTTTTGTATTTGGTATTTTGGCTCATGGAATATCTGAATCCATGTATTAACTACTTAGGGTTACTGGGTGTCTACTCCCAGGCAAGCCTAACAGTTTCATTTTCTGTGCAGTATAAGAAAATAGCTGGGCCTCCCTGATGGAGCAAGGGGTTAAGCACCGCACTATGGGGCAGTCCACAGCCTCTGCAGCGCGAGTTCGATTCCCGGCCAGCCAGGGAGAAACCCACATGGCGCAGCAGACCTCTCTGGTCTTGCCCGCTGCTCCCCTCAGCAGTGTGTTTCAGTCTGCCTGTTCTGTTCCCCACTTTGTCTCTGGTAGATCCTTCCCCTCCCCCCCACATCTCTTGCCTGTGCCCCAGCTCTTGTGTGCATAAATAAATAAATCTTAAAAAAAGAAAATAGCTAAAGTGCTCCAACGGAGAATACCAGTACTGTTTTCTCTTACTTTCATAGCCCCTTGTTTTGCTGTTTATTGTTTACGTCTATTTCTCAAGAAGCTAGGGAGGCATTAGGTAACAGGTACTTTGCCATATGGTTGGTTATTATGAATAAAGTGTTATGGAGTGTGCCACTGTTTAGTTAGCTAGAATTAGCCAACAGTGAGTGACAGGACTTCATTTTCTCCTATTGTAAAAATAGTCTGGAAGCAGGCAGTCTATGACTGGTGTAGCAGACCCACAAAAACTAAGCATTCAGGCCTCTTCCAGCTCAGAGCTCTGCCATTCCAGGGGTTATGCCTTTCTGTTGATGGGCCAGAACAGCTAATATATTTGAGATTATGATCCTAATTCTTTTGGCATTATAATATCTATTTTTATGTCTGGTGATAAAAATAGATGGTTGCATTTTGCTCAGTGTCTTTGTTTGGCAAAATAAAAAGTTGACAAACTTTTTTAAATTACACAACCTGTATTGAAGCAGCACCATTTTTATCATTAATTCATAGATGAGAAAATTGAGTTAGTAGTTAAATAGGAAATTGCCCCTGTTGATCGATGACCAAATCAGCATGAAACCCAAATTTTATGTGATAACAAAGTCCCTGTTTTCAACATTCCCCAAACCCTAGATATTAGTATATGTAATTTAGAAACTGGCAGAGGAAATCTGACTTAAGTCTCTCTCTTGAGCCTATATTAAATTGTCTCCCAGTAGGCTAGGTCTGGATAATTCAGCCTGAATTCCTTTTCTTTCATTAGCCAATAGATCTAACTCAAACAAAGTTGATTTCAATTTAGAAAGTTTTTTTTTTAAGAGATTCTTCCTTTAGAAAAATAAAATGGGCTTCTTTGTAATCACCATCCATCCTCTCTAGTTTCTACTTCAAGAGAACCTTAAAATATGGCAATCAGCAGAATTTTCAGGGCAATCCAAGTACTGTGTATATTATACTGATGGATACATGACCTGACACATTTGTCCAGATCCATTTAATGTACCTGGAGTACAAACCCTAGCAAACTATGAACACTGGGTGGTAATGGCATGTCAGTGTAGATTCATCATTTATAACAAATGTCCTATTCCGGCTAAACAGTGCTAATAATGGGGAGGCTATGCATGTGTGGGGGTAGAGGGCGTATGGGCAACCTCTATACCTTCCTCTGAATTTTGCTGTGAACCTAAAACTGATCTAAAGAAATAGTCTTTAAGTGAAATGGTAACTATAGAAAGTCTCAGGACAACAACAAAATCATAGAAAATGTTGTGACTGAGATTTGGGGGGTTGCTTGGGAGGAGAGATACAAAGATGGATAGAATTTAGGAACTTTTATGATGTGAGGGAAGAATTATTTGAAAAATTGAAATCTTTCAGAAAGACTCTGGACGCCAAAGCACACTGCGGTAATTGCTTTTATTTGTTCAGGGGCTCATATTGCAAGCATTAAGCCAAGTGCGGGCTTTGATTCTGTGAGCCCAGATTCACATATTTAGGAGGATAAAAGCAGATTGAGATCCATGTATGTGGGTGAGAACTAAAGGCTCGTGGTTAATCACATTGTAGTTTTTAAGTGTCTACATCCTAGAAGCCTGAAGTCACAGATCTTTGAGGTCCTTCTGGATGTTCCACAGGGTATCTGCACTTTTCTTGAGTTGAGCAACCTCATCATCCTTCAGCTTCTGGTTGATAACACTGGTTAATCCACGAGCATTCAGGATACATGGGAGGCTCAGGAAGACTTCATTCTCAATGCCATACATCCCCTGCCACAACAAGAAAAGTGTTAAGATAGAGAAATTAATCCAGAGGCAAGAAAGATCAGAGGCCCTAGGTTTCAACAGAAAAGATTGGTAGAAAACCTGATTTTCATCATCCATAGGCCTATGTGTCCCTAATAATTAATTTTTAGGGTTTTGTACATAGATTATAACAATATACACTATGATAAAACTAGAAATTTATAAGGAAATATTAAATACTTTATAGAAGTACATTTTTCTTTCTGCTTAGGAACTTTAATAACATTTTATATGTCTTTAAATTATACTGTATTTGTGGTTTTTAATGCACTACTTTTCATGAAATCCCTAGTTTCTTAAAATTCTTTAGTTAAGGAGGTGGTGGTTGACCTGCACAGTCCAGAACAGCAATCATAGGCTACTCAGAGGCAAGATTCTTTCAACATGCAAGAGTTGCTGGAGGAAAGATAGTATAATTTCCAGAACACTTTATTTAGCAGGTTACTTTATTATGTAAAGCTTTTAACTTCCAAAAGTTTTGTATATACGGCAGAGTAGAGAATGAATCATTATAGACATACTCTGAGATTTAGACATCATCTTTATTTTTGAAAATGTTGCTGTAGTATTTTAAAAATAACCTTACATATTTTATCCATAAATACTTCTATAGTTATCTCTTTTACTTGCTTCTTCTAATGTATTACATTTCCACTTCATTTTTTCCTCCCTGCCATTGACTTGTAGGAAACAAGTTATCTTAGATAATTTTGTAGTACAATTTTAGTTGTATTTAAAAACAATTGCTACATAAATTGTTCTGGTTTTTGAATCAAACTAAATTTGCTAAGGTATTAAGTGCTACATCAAAGCATCCTACAGTTTAATACTATATATGGTTATATAGCTTAATACTGTATGTATCATTAAGCTATACTGTTTAATGAGCCAAGCTACATAGCTAAATTACATAGTTTAACATTGTATATATAAACTATATAGTTTAAAATAATACTTATTCAATGATATATTTTGAGCATGTGCTGAATAAAATGCAGAGTTAATAATTAATTTGCCTTGTCATACAAGAGAGAATTATTAAAATTTATTTTATTGGATTCTTGGACCCACCCACAAGCTTGCGGGGTCACATGCTTTGTTGTCCCGGACTTCTATTAGAAAAGGAAGAATTTCTATAAAACTTTAAAATGCACAAATAACTGTGACCTGAGACTTTATTTTGCCTACTTTGAATGAACATTTTTTTAATAGAATTCATTACTAGAAATCATATTATAGATTATTTTATTATAGATATATTTTACCTTCACCATTGTTGACACTGGATGAATCCTAGACAGATTTTGAACATGGATTCAATGAGATCAGCCACACTTAATCCAATAGCCCAGTTGGTGTATCCTTTTAGCTTAATGACCTCATAGGCACTAGAGTAAAAAAAAAAAAATCATGAGAGATCATTGAAACCAGAATTTATGTTTAACTCCTTTTTGCTTATTAACTGCTATTTTGAGTAAATTATTTAGCCTTTCTTGTCTTCTGTGAATTTCTTTCCTAAGTTTGTTAAATGAGCTAATATATATATGCAAAGTGTTTAAAATTGTGAACATTTCATGGTAGTGCTATATATACATGTGCTGGTAAGTTTAAATAATTTTTTGTACACATGAATGTTTATAGTTACAGCGGTAAAAGTGTTCGCTTTCCAACCAGTCTTTTTATTATAAACATGAACATTTCCAAAGATATTAATGAAGTCAGTAAACAGTAAAAGAAAACGGACTTCACATTTAAAGGACAAACGATACCTTGATTTTGAGGTCCCACTTACCACGGTCACCTAAAATACTATGACCAACTAACTTAAGAACAAAGTGATAACAATACCTTCCCTGGAAACTTTCTGAGCACAAACTGTATATCTCAGAATTCACAAAGGTTACCAAAACAAACACAATCTGATTGCAGAATTGAAACTAGCAGAGGGGGAGGATGTAGGGAAGTGAGCAAAGTGGGGAGAGACCCAGTGTACTGTGTGGGGCTTTTTGGTGACATAGCTTTTTGTCTTAGCTAAGCCTGTTAAGCTGGTATCTGAAGTCATGTGAATTACTCAGTCATGCCAGGCCTCTCCTGATAGACATGAGAAGTATACGCATTGTTCTTTAACTTCTTTTTGGCTTTTATCTCTTATCGAAAAAACTCTATGCAAATAATGGCTAACATTTATTGAATGCTTACCAATGAAATGTGTGTGCATATAGGTGTGTGCGCTTTTACTCCACTTTTACAATAATTCTATTACCATGTGTTTACAAAAAGGAAAACTGAGATTCAACTTTAAAAGTTAATGCTTCCTCAACACTCTGTAGTCAGTAAGTGTGGGTGCTGTGATAGTAAGTCAAGCCCATACAACACAATGTCAGCAGTCAGCAGGGATTTTAGGCAATGAGCCGAATAGTGTCTAGGTTAGTTTTCCAGTTAAAGTCAAAGTTAGTTTTTCAATAGGAGACCATTTGAAAGCCCTTCTTACTTGTTAATTCCATGTGTTAGTCTTGTTACCTCTACAACTGAGCTTCTCCAGAAAGAAAATATTTGCTTTGTCCAAGGGGACTGGCATAGCAAGTATGACCAGTGTGAGTTAGTCTTCTCTGTTTTCAGAAGACAATGGCTGCATACTTACTATATTCAGAGTTTATCTGAGCAGACAGTCTCAAAAGTTGTTCATCATTTTATCCAAGTAAAGATGAAATACATTGTCCTAGATCAAGACCCCTTTCCTTTTACCTTTCAACCACCATCTTATGCACTTCCTTCCAGTTTTCACTATCATTATCTGTCCCCATTGCCGGATTCAGCTCTTGGAGAGAAACACCTGCCACATTTACACCACTCCATACTGCCACTGTGAAAACAAACCAAAAAAAAAAAAAGCATTATTTTATGTATTTCTGACACTTTTTAAAAATCCTTCTGATTTGTGAAATCACAAGGGTATAGCAAACTTTTGGTGTGAGGAATTTTTAATCTTCCTTCCACTTATTTTCCTATTATAAGCTCATTTCTTCCGGAATTAAGTGGAAAAAAAAATTCTTGGATAAGACCTAAATATCATTTAATTATCTTTAGATTTCCTAATGCCACAGATTCAACCTATTTCTCAACACATACTCCATGTAACTACTATGAGCTTTTCTGGTCTTAACTGAATCACATTTCCTCCTAAGAGGGCCTCCACAGACAGGGCAAAAGCATCTCCGTGATTGACTATATCTTCTGGAGATTTTGATGCACCAAAACAATCCCCTTACCTACTCTTAACGCCTCCTATGCAGTCAAATATATGCTGAAGATGTAGGTGTGCAAAGATGAGTGAAGACATGAGGTGTGGCACGGGCAAGCTAAGAACCCTCTGGAGAAACTGGCAAAGGAAACTAAAGCAATCGAATGAGTTCTCACAGAGGCATGGAGAGGGTGCAATAAAAGTTAAGGGTCCACTTAACGTAAAGGAAAAGAGTTATCAGAGGGGCTACCAAAAACAGGCATTTGAAATGGACCCTGAAATGTAAGTATGTGTTTCCAAGGACCTTTGGAGAACACTGTGGACTCAGGAAGTAAAGGGGCAGGGGTAGAGTCTAGCATGGCTGGAATCAGTGAGGCAGGGCATATAAGACCCCTTGTAAATCCACAACTTTTGTGAATTCAAGTAACTGTGGAAAGAACTAGGGCATTCATCCTACCAAAAGCAATATACAGATTCAATGCTATTCCAATCAAAATTTCAATGTCATTCTTCAAAGAAATAGAACAATTATTGATGAAATTCATATGGAATCACCAAAAACCCCGAATAAAAAAAAAGAAGGAAATGGAGGCATCACACTCCCAGACTTCAAACTATACTACAAAGCCATAATCATCAAAACTGCATGGTATTGGAACAAGAACAGACATACAGACCAATGGAATCGAATAGAAAATCCAGAAATAAACCCACAGATTTATGGTCAACTAATCTTTGACAAAGGAGCAAAGACTATGCAGTGGAGCAAAGAAAGTTTGTTCAATAAATGGTGCTGGGAAAACTGGGTCGCTACATGCAAAAGAATGAAGCTTGACCACTACCTCACACCATACACAAAAATCAACTCAAAATGGATTAAAGAACTAGACATAAGACCTGAAACCATAAAATACATAGAAGGAAATATAGGCGAAACACTACGTGATTTGCACATCAAAGACATCTTTACAGACACATCACCCAAAGCAGTGATAGTGAAGGCAAAGATAAACAGCTGGGACTACATCAAATTGAAGAGCTTCTGCACAGCAAAAGAGACAATAATAAAAACAAAGAGAAACCCCACCAACTGGGAGAACATTTTTGCACCCAACACTAATGATAAAGGACTGATCACAAAAATCTGCAAAGAGCTGATGAGACTCAACAACAACAAAGAAAAGAATCCAGTCAAAAAATGGGCAGAAGAGCTAAAAAGAAACTTCTCTGAAGAGGAAATGCAAATGGCCAACAGGCATATGAAAAAATGTTCAACATCACTTGTCATCAGGGAAATGCAAATCAAAACTACCATGAGATACCATATCACACCAGTGAGAATGGCACATATTAAAAAAAACTAGCAACAACAAATGTTGGCGAGGGTGTGGAGAAAAAGGAACTCTCCTGCACTGTTGGTGGGAGTGCAAACTGGTCCAACCACTGTGGAGAGCTGTGTGGAGATTTCTGGACCTACTAAACATAGAGCTTCCATATGATCCAGCAATTCCACTCCTAGGTATTTACCCAAAGGACACAGAAACATCAATTCCAAAGAACACCTGCACCCCTATGTTTATAGCAGCACTATTTACAATAGCTAAGCTTTGGAAACAGCCCAAATGCCCAAAAATAGATGACTGGATCAAGAAGATGTGGTACATATATACCATGGAATATTACTCAGCATTCAAAAAAGATAAGCACATGCAATTTGCAGCAACATGGATGGCGCTGGAAGGGATCATGCTCAGCGAAATAAGCCAAAAAGAAAAAGAAAAATACCGGATGGTCTCACTCATAGCAGGAATCTAGAAAACTTAAATAAGGGACCAGGAAAATGAATATAAGAAAGTGAAAATCAAAATCAACAAAAAACTATGAACCAGAGACACTTTTTGGGGGTGGGGGGGCGGGAGGGGAAGGATTGGGGTCAGAATGGGGCGTTTGCAATTGTATGGGGGAATATAAAAATAAAATTTATTATAAAAACAAAACAAAACAAAAAAAAAAAGAACTAGGGCATTGCCATGGTTCTGATGAAAACTATGAGATCCATATAATTATGCCTAAGTGAGCATGGTTTAATTCTCTTTCATGCCATGTACACAATATAGATCAATGTGGGAAAGGCAAAACTTGATGTTTTGACAAAATGATAGCTTAATGAGTGAACAGAACATTAACTAGGAGTCAGTTATGCCACTAACTAGCGAAAGGATCTTCAGCAAGGCACTGTGTCTGCTTGTGTCAATTTTTAACCCATTAGAAGGAAAGTCTTCAACTAGATGACATGTAATATCACTTCCAGATCTGTGGGTCTAGTAACTCTGTAATTGTAATAACTAGCATCTATTGAACTCTCATTATACACCAGTTACTGTACTAATTACTTTCTAGATACACCAATTATTATATATAAATGACAAATCTTTGGATATAAGGACTCTTGAATGAAAATGTGTCAGAAAAAAACAGCATTAATATATAAGAATGCATGAAAACAATGTGAAGCCAGCTTCTTATAATACCATGTAAGGCCTTCACTAAAATCACATTACACACTCATACTAAATTCAAAGGAAAATTTACACCTTAACCTTTTAAGGAAAAACTAGGGAAAAAATAGTCTTTGCATACAGGCAGATTTAGTAAAATGAAGATTATCATTATTATTGATAGTAAAATGGATTATTATGGCTTTAAACTGTAAGCCCATTCAATGAATTTTGGCTTAATAAATAGGTTTAGAATTATAAAATACAATCAGATTTGTTCAGAAATATTTTTAATAAAAAACTTTGGATTTTGGAACAGAAATATTGATTTAAATGAAAAGAAACATTAAAGAAAGCATTATAAAAAAGAAATAGAAGTGTGATACAATTTTAATGTTGTTTGCTTCTAATAATGACTCATTTATGCCTACTGACTACTTGAATTTCTAAAGAAAATATTTGAGAGATTTCTCAAGTGGTCTCTTTCTACTTAAGTGGTTCACCTATGATAAAAAATCAGGTTTTTATTCTAGACTAGTTGACACTGCTGATTGAAAAGTTTGTTACCCATTTCATTTCTCCAATAAAACAATGGATATAACAGTGCTGCAGAGGGCCTAGAAGCGAAATTATACCAGGAGCATGAGCACACCTATGCCCAGACCTTGGTTTCTAAATACTATTCTCCCTGAAAGGAAAACAGGGCTCATGGGAGAAAAAAGCCGATCCCGCAATGGGAAAGCAGAAAGAGGCACCTGGCGCCTTTGTTGTCCAACAAGGAAGGGTTCAGTGATAAAACTTGTCAAAAAGAGACAGAGGTCAGCTTGAAGAGTCTGCTATTGGCCAAAGCTGGGATGATTTGTGTACTATAAATATAGTGGCAGAACATTTATAAAATCAAATAAAAATCTGAGTCAACATTGATATAAATGTGTGAATAAAAATGGGAAAGAGAAAGTTCTCTTAAAACACAATGCAATTAATAAATATAGAGGAAATATGAAATTAGAATATTTGACAATCACAATACTTTATTAACCAAGAATCATGAATGAATATTAAGCTTAGTAGGCAAAAAACTGATAAGGAATCAGATATTCCCCCAGTCAGTATCAAAGTATGCCCCCACAAATTACTTTTTGTAATGTAAAGTATATGAATATATAAAAATAAATTTTAAACCAATCCCAAATATCACTATAGCAAGAACAGTACTGAAAGTATATAGTCTATATTTTCAATTATTTTTACCACTTGAGTCGCCATGTTCTCCCAAAATCCATCCATGGCAGCTGCTGGGATGAATGCCAAGTTTTTCAGCCATGAGATAGCGAAATCTAGCAGAATCCAGATTACACCCACTTCCAATCACACGGTGCTTGGGTAATCCACTTAGTTTCCAGGTAACATATGTGAGAATATCCACTAAAATTTTTAGAATAGCATAGGTAAGTAAATCAAAACTTTTCAAGTGCTGTGTCAATGAGCAGATGCCTGGCTTCCTCCTCCCCTCCCCCAGCCCGGGAATGATTGGCTAGAAAGATGTAAATACTTTGACTTTTCATAGTTAGCAATAAGGGGGATGAAAGAGATGAGAAAGTATTTAAGTCTTTTTTTTTTAAAAAAGATTTATTTATACAAGCACTGGGTACAGTCAGAGGCGCAGGAGGGTGAGAGGATTCACCAGAGCCAGAGCGGAGAACAGAAGAGGCAGAGTGACGAAGAACACTGCTGAGGGGAGCAGCGTGAGGCAGGAGAGGTCTGCGCGCCATGTGGGACCCTCGCCTGGAGGCCTGGGATGGAACCGGTGCTGCAGAGGCTGCGGGCAGCTTCTCAACCCAGCACTCAACCTCTGCACCACCGGGGAGGCCCGAAAGTATTTAAGTCTTATGCTGAGATATTGTAAAATATGAGAAGTGCAATTCTGTAGTTTTGTATTTATGTTATTGAAACAAGAATACACGAGATCCTTGCAGATTAATTAACTTATTATATGTGGAAATAAAGAGAAAAAGGATTGAGTGAGATCATCACTTATGCTTCTTCTCATTCTAACACTGCATGACTGTGAGGTCTGTCATCATAAACCAAAAGCCGTCAGTTACTAATTACCAAGTATGCCACTATAAAATTTCCTGGGCACATGGTAAGAATTCTATAAACTATTAGAACAATACAGGGCATTAAGATTTTTTTTACTGTTTAATGGCAGCGCCTCTATGACAGAATCTTACTCTGCTTCGGCATAGCCCTGAGACCCCAGAACATAAAACCTGTTGCTCTAGAGAGGATAATAGCACTTATAATATAAGCTGTTGGGGAAAAAAAAAAAAAAGGTAGAAAAATATGCACACAGGAAGACAAGGGCTTCATCTCGCAGTCTCCACCTCAGATATAGACACCACTCAGTTTAAGGTCGTTTTGGACTTGGCATAAACTCTCCCTTGAAAAAGTTGTATAACTAGGACCTCCCTGGTGATGCAAGGGGTTAAGACGCAGCACTGGAAGCTATCCACTGCAGCACAAGTTCGATCCTCGGCCTGGGATCTACCCACATTGGCACAGGAGACCTGTCCTGACTCACCCGCTGCTCCCCTCAGCAGTGTATTTCAGTAGATCCACCTGTTCTATTCCTCACTCTGTCTGTGGTGAATCCTCTCACCCCCACACCTCTGGCCTATACCCCAGTACTTGTACGCAAAAATAAATAAATCTTTAAAAAAAAGTTGTATAACCAGTAACCAGTTTTAATAACCCCTGGGCTGGCTATGACAACTTCATATGTACCAACTATTTGTCATTTCTATTCTACATCAATCTGCCATTAGATATTTATGAGGTGTTTTAGGTACAAGATCAAATTATTCGTTTCAATTCTGGATTGTAGAGAATAAAGAATAATAAGAAAATAATCTCTGTTCTTGCTGGCTCCCAACACTCAATATTACAGGACCTATAAGGATTCTCTGGGTTCTTTTTCACAATCTTTCTCTATTGAAGTGTCAGATATCTGTTTTACCATTTTATCAATGTTAAAATGGTACGATGCTCACTGAAAAACAGTATGTTTCATGGAAAATTATAGACCAAAAAGTGTCAGATAATGAATTTAACTGGTCAGACCGAAAAAAGAAATGCAATTATTTTTAACCAGCAGTACTAATGGTTATTCTGCAAATGTTGATTTGGCAATGAAGGCAGCTTCTAAATTTCATCATTTGGTATTAGCATGTATTTACCTATCAATACAGTCTATTTCTAGCTTTAAAACCAGACTGATTAATGTCTTTCTTAAACTCTTCTCAAAAATCAATCTGATTCTATCCTGCAGAGTTTTAGAGATATGGATACTAGAATGAATTTTCTGGAAAACAGGAGGTCAAATATGCTAGAATGTTTCCTACAAATTGAAGCCACATTTCAACCTTTCATTATGCATCCCAAGATAATCTTTAAGAAAATTTGGACGCTTTTAAACTTTTCAACAAACCCAGATGAAACAAACAGATGACACTGCTTTATATAAAACTCTTTTCATATTTTTAAACATTTGGCCTGGGACAGAGCCATTTGTTTAGCAAACAGTACTCTTGTGGCCAATAACAGAAGACACATGAATGGCTTCTGCTGTGAATACTAGAACAGATTTTTTGTAAGTTCCAAAAAAGCAAAATAAAACAGAACCCCAAAACACCAAATTTCACAGAACGGAATCTTGAAGCATCAAAACATCACCTGGGTTGGAGACCACAATGATGATGCAATTAGGGCTGTACTTGACAATCTGAGGGATAATAAACTTGAAGACATTCACATTCCTCTGCACCAGATTGAGACGACTTTCTCCCTCCTGCTGGCGGACTCCTGCGGTTACCACCACTATCTTAGAGTTGGAGGTCACAGAGTAATCTGGATGAAGAAGGAAAAAGGTACTTCAAATATACCTTCTCATCAGAACATGAAACCTAAATGTACATAAGCTTCTATGATAGAACTTATCTGAGAACCTGTTTTCTGTATTAGAAGATTTTGAAGCACAATTCTCCAGTTGCCTCTTCCTCATTGAGCTATATGGAAACCTCCAACCATAGACTTGACATAGAGAATGTATCAAAGAAATTAAAAAGGTCCTAGTGATGTTTCTGACTAACAAATTCAAAATGCTGACTTTAGAGAATACTGGATTGTCAATAGGAACAGGTGTCTCCAAGGTTTGCTGTGTTGATGCAGTTTGTGAAGGCTCAGGAAGGCACTAAAGTGTTTGCGTCTAGAAATTGATTTCTAATAGTCAACCTTTAAAGGAAGTTTTTTTTTCACTTTTAGCAGTGAGTTTCTCTGGGGAGTATTTTTCCCTCAAGGAAGTGTGTCCTTTCCCAAAATACAGACATTATGATTTGATGTGATGTGATCTGATGCTTACACATTTGATGTTTGCACATAGCAAACTGTGTTGCTATTTGCCTTTTGAGTTATTAATACTTTCATCAGTTTCCTCTGCCATAAAATGGAGATAACTGGGTCCACTGCTCATAAGGTTGTTGGGAAGATGAGGTGAGATACGCAAATCTTCCAGAGCCCAGAATACCAATACTCGAGTGCATAACAGTTATCAGGACTCATATTGTCAAACTCAGATGTCTACATCTTCAGGCATGTCACAATGGGGTGGCAGTGTTGGTGTATCTGCTAAGTAGAATAGAGATGGCCAGAATATAGGTTTGTCTCATTTCTTCAAGGCACTCCAATTGCACTGTGCAAATTTTTCCTGTCTAAGACATTCCTATTCTCAGATATGCACATTATGATACAATTTCCAAAAATGTTATATACCAAATATGTTGAAGGCATATGAAGAAGAATTATACAGGTAACACTAGTGGTTTCGTACTCAGGAAAAAAGAAGAAAATGTCAACATCAGGTTCACCAGGATGAAGACTGATTTTATATCAGTGAGGACATCAGATTCTTATTAGACCACTCTGGGCATGAAATGAAGCTACCTTTATCCGCCACGATTTTAGGTGTCTGAAGAAATAAGCTGCCATGCTGCAGATCCATCATTTCTCCTTTGAGTTTATCTTCCAAAACATCCACAAGGGCCAGTTCATCTGCCAGAGACTATAAAGACAAAAACAGGTGTTGATATATCCAAGGTCATTGTGAAGCCTCAGCTCACATGCAACAGAGCCCCCTTGAAATGGCACAGTGCCAATGTCAAACACCTAGAGGATTTTACCATGGGGTTAGGGGTGCTCTTTAAACAAATTTATCACAAAAACTTTTGACTAATAAATTACTAAAACTTAAGCAGTGAATTTTTAGAATTTCATTTCCTAGCACTCAACTAGGATCCAAATAGCATGCTGTGTCACCTTAAAAATACGCAGGCCTGAAAGTGTCCTGAAAGAATTCTCTGGGTTCAGCGGTTGCTTCAGGCAGACCAGTCTTCACTTTTATGGAGGGTGGTGCTGAAGATTCAACCAGATCCACAGACACCTTTGGGCAGTATATGCCCCTAGTTTGGAGGGCTTCTGAGGGGCAGATTTGGTTTAAACAACCAAGAGTTTGAGTTTACTTTGTATTTGTAGTAGGATTTGAAGCCCGAGTTGAAGCTGAAATGCTCAGGTTAGATTTAACCAACTGAAATGTGTCACTGGGGAAAGGTACAGGTGTCTTATAGGTACAGGTACAGTAGTCCAGGACCAGTAGATTCTCCATATATGATCTACCAATCTTGCCTCATCTCAGAGTTCTCTTGTTTTCTTGTCCCATTGTCATTTTCTGCCACCCATCCAAAACAAAACCTTAAGTCAGAAAGAATACCATTTTATCTTCATCTACTATTATCATGTTCCACGAAACATGCTTTATGTGTAACATGTTATATTTATGTGTTCTCTTAAGTCTGCATAAATAGTGGGGCATAAAAATAAAGCCCTGGGCCTCCTTGGTGGCGCAGGGGTTAAAGACAGCACTATCAAGCTACCGCCAGCCACTGCAGCACAAGTTCGATCCACTGCCTGCTAGGAAGCAACCCACATGGCACAGGAGACCTCTCCTGCCTCACCGGCTGCTCCCCTCAGCAGTGTTTTCGCTCTGTCTCCTTGTTCTGCTCCCTGGTCTGTCTCTGGTGAATCCTCTCACCCTCCTGCACACCTCTGGCCTGTACCCTAGTTCTTGTGTACATAAATAAATATATCTTAATAATAATAATAAAAAAGGAACCCTCAGAAGGAAGCTTACTGTTGCTCACTTGAAGTTAGACAGCTGTAGGGATTCTAAAAAACAGTCGATCTGCCTGTTCTACTCCCCACTCTCTTTGGTGAATCCTCTAAACCCCCACACCTCTGGCCTACCTATACCCCAATTCTTGTATACACAAATAATCTTTAAAAAAATATTTAAAAGTTCTGAAAAATACTTATCCCTTCCATTGCAATATCATTCAAGCCTTACTTTTACTGTTTTTAGAGCCTCGAGCAAAATCATCAGCTTGATATACCAATACTGGAGCTGGCTTAACATGAAAATACCTCTTTCAAGGAGAATGGTGATTGGCTATACAAATGGAGGGTGTTGATGTGCAACAGGGTAGGTAAATATCGGGGCTCAGAAAGTGCTTTAAAGGACTAGGTTGAGTAGAGTAGGATGGAATAGGAGATGTCAGAAAGGTGCTGACCAGTGAGAAGCAGAGAGACAGCCAATAAGAAAACTTGACCTACTTTAGCTTGCCAGCAAAAGCAGGTCCCTCTCTGTAGCTCAGGAATGAGCACCATCCCCATTTTCTAGAATCCCTACAGCTGTCTAACCTCAAGTGAGCAATAGTAGGCTTCCTTCTGAGGTTTTTTTTTTTATTAAGATTTATTTATGTACACAAGAACTGGGGTACAGGCCAGAGGTGTAGGAGGGTGGGAGGATTCACCAGAGACAGAGCAGGGAGCAGAACAGGCAGACAGACTGAAAATACCGCTGAGGGGAGCAATGGGTGAGTCAGAAGAGGTCTGCTGTGCCATATGGGTAGCTTCCTGGCCAGCCGGCGATTGAATGGGCACTGCAGAGACTGCAGACAGCTTCATAGTGCTGCGTTCAACCGGCTGCGACACCAGGGAGGCCCCCTCCTGAGGGTTTCTATAAGACCTCAGCCTCCTTGTAAGGGAGGACTCTGGTCTTCATTGCAAACAACTCTTTTCCTAACTGCAAAAATCACCATTTTGTGAGCTGGGATTTCAAGGGATGTATTTTTCTCATCCCCAACTACTAGCATTGTATTTCATCCATTTTTATTTCAACACAGGTTTTGACACTTTTGAAACAGTTTGTTCCTCTTGCAGCCTCTGACATCACACAGAACTCTCATTTGTGTTTTCTTTAGCTCTAAAAGAATGTAATATAACTTAATAATAGCCAGTAACCTTCTGTCAAGGAACTAGACTGCTAGGAATATCACTCTTATTTTAGTAACATCACATGTGCGATACTGAAGTCAACAGGGCAAAGCAGTTTGGGGCTTAAGTGGAAAAGGATGTCACAGGATCTCAGAGCCTCTCTTTTGTTTCAGTGGGTGTTCAGAATTGGCTGAGAAGTGCATACTCAGCTGGTGAGGAAGGAAGAGATCCAACACTCTAACAAAAATAATTGAAGTGCTGAATTTAGCTGCATTTGCATCACTGAACATGCCCCCAGGGTGAAGGCAAACAGAAGAGGTGTGCGTAAGTACTGATGCCTTGAATAGCTTTCCCTCTTTAACACACATATTGAATATACCTTATATATTTCATTTAAGCTATACATATATTTAAAATACTTTTTGAAACAGCAAGCTTTAACAGCATAAGCAGTAACCTTATTAAAGAACCAGGTCAGTTAAAGTCTACAATATCACTGTTGAAACCTTATTTAACCTCCTACAGAAATGTCCTTAAACCTAAAGGTCTATGTGGACCAGACACAGCCAAGTCTGACTCTTGGTCCTCTTAGCTAATAAGGCACCACCACTGATATCTAGATATTCAGTGGTTGCAGTCATCTATTCAAGTGTTTGGCCTGCATGACATTTTGTGGAAGGAAAAGGCATAAATTTCCCCAAATAATTATGAAATGGACAAGCACTCTTGGCTCATTTTTTTTCCTCTAGAATGTCACTTCCATCTTATGTTAGATATTGTTTGTGTCTGTTTCTGAGCTTTTAGTCTACATTGATCTGTCTATTCTTGCACAAATACCAAATTTTAATTATGTCCGGCTTTTAAGCCAAATCCTGTGCTGCAAAGCTACTTGGCAGCATATGGCTGCCGTTATACTGCTACTTTTAATGCTCTTTTAACCACAAAAACTGGCTACAGCAAAGAGATGTGAGGATAGATACTTAAACCAAAAACAGATGGACAGAAAGACGAAGGGAACCTTGCAGGGAAGCTCTGTGAGACCATGCGAGGTCCACATTCAGAGTTCCTCTTGGCAGCCCTGTGACTAGTGGAACAGAAGTCATGTTTGGTAATAAAAATAATCAGAAAGAAGCTATGATAAAAGCTTAAAGTTTACTAGTAATAGTGGGAATATTCATTTAGTACAAAGTGTATATTCATTTATTAAACATGCCAGACATCACTCTACTAAACAGGAATACAGTAATGAGCATACTCAGCAAAGTCCCTGTTCATGTATCAGGAAGGGAATAGGAAATAAGCAATCTAGTTAAGATGATTTCTGATGGAAGTTATAAAGACCGTAAGACAGGGTGATGATACAGTTCCTGGGAGGAAAGTTTACTTTATATTTGATATAAAAGTGTGACATGAATGATGGGGAGGAGTCAATCTCATGAGGATCTAGGGTGAACATTCCAGGTGACAGCAAGTATAAAGGTTTAAGCAGAAATGAGCTTGGTGTTTTGGAGACAGAGAGCAGATGGTGGATTCTGGCAATACCACCACGCTGTATTGAAGGTGCCCCCTGAGTGGGTCATCACCTCATGCTGTGACACAGGTAGGGAGACAGAGAAATATAGGTGCCACCTCTCAGGATTTTAAGCAAGAACAGTGTGTGGGCACTGTCAAACTATTAGAAAATTTTAAGAAGCTACTATTGTTAGACAAGGTCACTATAGTTATTATGCAGGCAATTAGGGTGGAGAGTGGGCAAGAGAAGCAGGAAATACCTGAATCTTATGATATGAGACACTGCAGTGGGCTCTAGCTAGGGTGTGGTGTCCTCACCTCTCCTGTTCCTAGCTTCACTTGCTTTCTGGGGCCAAAGCAATGAGCAGTTTCAGTAAAGCACACCAGCAGTGGAATCAAACAACCTAGATCTGGCATGATCTATTTGATCTTTATCAAGCTGCTTAGTCTTTCTGAGTCAGTCTTTTTCCAGCAGTCATATATAGATGACATATATAAATGACAACACCCCCTACAGCTGTTGGGGAGAAATAAGAATAGGTAATGTCAAACACCACATGACCCAGCAGTGCTAATTTCCTTTCTCTATTAAATTAGTGTAGTTCCTAATCCTTTCTAAATATGAGTAACAATTTGAAACACTTTAATCCTTACCCATTAAAATAAGATGTAAACATTTAATTAGTCAAATGGTCTTGAAACAAGGCAATCATTTCTTCACAGCATCTAAACTGGATAATTCCTTCTGGACTAACAGCAGGGTCTGTTCCCTCAAACTCTTGAATTAGAGCAAAGTATTATGTAACTGCAGGTATGGTCTCAACTGAATTATTTACTGAAGAGGATTTTAAATTTACACCTAATTATAGAAGTATCCTTCTAGAATCACGATAGCTCAGATATACTTTCCTGAGAAGCCCAAATTTTGAGATTATCAGGAGGCCAGAAAGTCTATAGTGTTTCATAAATATACTATGTTTTTAACTGGCTAAATAGCAGCACAGGATGAAAGGAAGTTTGAGAGTCACTATGGTTAGAATTTTGGAATCCTGGGTTCAAAACACAGCTGCTTCCACCAGTATGTGACTGAGGGCAGCCCACGCCATCTCTCTGGGTCTTAGCTACTCATCTGAAAACACGGTACAAAGAGTTCCCATTTCTTGAGGTTGTTCTTTAGGATAAAGTATTTTAGTAAAAACACTTTCAGTGTGCTACACACTCAATGTTTTAAAAGAAACGTGAGCAGGAATACTTATTTTTACTGCCATGAGCAAGTGCTTATTTAAATTCCCTGTAAGTTGGCAGGCAGCTAGCCTAAATCACAGGCACCCAGTCAACTAAAACTAACTGGAAAAAAATGCAAATTATCAAGTTTTCATTGGTGCACATGACAAATTTTCATCAATGTCTTTGATAACTTTTTCTCAGTAAAGAAGCAGAATTTGTTACTTTAGCATTCTGCAAACAGAAATATGCTTGGCTTGGAGTTGTTCAGGCAGCATTCACACTGATACAAAGGGACAGTGTGCGGCAATTGCCTGCAGAAGGCAAGGCAGCATTTTTTGGGGGGGAAAGCTGCCTACATTTAAAGCAGGCTTCAGAAAGAACAAGGAATCAATTCATTGAGCTAAATTAAAAAAGGGCTCTTTTCTTTGAAGTCCTTGGACACTGAAGTAAACTAAATATGGTTTGACCTACAAGGGTGTGTATGTGTGTTGTGTGTATATACATGAGGCAAGACAGAAAGGTATGGTGGTATATAGGGAAAATACAATCTGGAAGAGTAGAAATGGTAATAGCACATTTCTAGCATTGTATCTCTTGATTATGTGAGAATACGTCTATTCTTAGGAAGTGGCCTGATGTCTGCACGTGTGGTTCAGAAATAAAACTGTATGTATGTATACGTACGTACACATACACACACACACACACATAAAAGATAAAGACAATAAAACAAAGTGTTCCAGGGCCTCCCTGGTGGCACAAGGGGTTAAGCACAGCACTGTGAAGCTGTCTGCAGCATGAGTTCCAGCCCTGGCCAGCCAGGGAGCTACCCACATGGTGCAGCAGATCTCTTCTGCCTCACTCGCTGCTCCCATCAGCAGTGTATTTCAGTCAGTCTGCCTGTTCTCCCCACTCTGTCTGGTGAATCCCCTCGCCCCACCCCCACTCCCTACCCCCCCACCTCTTGCCTGTAACCCCAGCTCTGTATGCATAAACAAATTAATCTTTAGCTAAAAAACCAAAATGCTCAGCATTGCTAAGTTTGGGTGAAGTGAATATAGAAGTCTCACCTTTTTTTTTTTTTTTTGCTATTCTTGCAAATTTTCTCTAAGTCTTAAATTATTTCAGAATAAAACTATTGGGTCAAAGTTTGAGAGGAATGATGGGATATTTCCAGCACCTCAGAAATCCACTGGGCAGATTATTTCTTAATTGTAGAGGGCGAAGGGAACTTTGCAGCAGAGAAATCTTAAGAGTCACCAATCCAACCCAAGCATTCTTGGGCGCTGTCAGTAATGGGACAAAATGAACATCATGTGCCCCCAGATGTGGTGTGTGGAAGGACATGAAATCACTAAGTCATAACTCCACCCTAAATTTTAACCTGATTAACCCCACCCTAAATTTTAACCTGAACAGAGTTACAAGAAAACATCAGATTAATGTGAATTGGGGGACATTCTACAAAACTGGCAAGGACTCTAAAAATGTGCATGACATGAGACAGAGAAAGGCTGAATTCTGAATTAAAGAAGAATAAGAAGGTGTCTCCCTGGTGGTGCAGGGGGTTAAGTTCAGCACTATGAAGCTATCAGCAGCCACTGCAGCATGTGTTTGATCCCTGCCCAGGGAGTTACCCACATGGCTCAGCAGACCTCTCCTATCTCACCGGCTGCTCCCCTCAGCAGTGTACTTCAGTAGATCTGCCTGTTCTGCTCCCCACTCGGTCTCTGGTGAATATTCTCACCCCCCACACCTTTGGCCTGAACCCCAGTTCTTGTATACATAAATAAATCTTTTTTAAAAAATGAGAGGAAGAAAAAAGACAATAAAGGAGAATGAGAAGAACCGACAAGTACATAAAACCATGATCTTGGATGAGGATGAACAGCTAAAAACATCCCTAAAGCAGCGGGAGAACTTTAAGTTTGGGTACTGTGTACAGACACTAACAATGTCAAGTTCCCTTGGTGTAGGAACTAGAGTGTGGCTACAGACTAAGAATACTACCTTAGTAGATGCCTGGGCATGTATTTAAAGGTGAAGTACCACATCTATAACTTACTTAAAATGATTCAGGGGAAAAACAAAAAAACATTTAAAGACCCAATGAAATAATGAAGTTCCTGTAGAGACTGTGCATGTGTTAAACTGTCATGTTCGGTGTCCCGAAATGTACCTTTCCCAGAATGCTGATGGCACAGGCCATACCAACTTGTCCAACACCCACTACAGTGATCTTATTGTTCGGGACCGTTGCCTTTTCTTCTGCAACTGGTGCAATCAGTTTTTCCTTAAGAGTTGCCATTGTGCACTGCAAGAAAAGAAAATCAAAACATTATAAGTATATTCACATATGAAAGCTAGGCAGTACAGTCCTTAGGATGTCACTCTTATAAACTGGGGTGACAGGTTAAGGGCCTAATGATATTTTAGAACATAGGCTATATTTAAAATAACCACATGACCATTTAATGGAGAATTTAATCAAGACAAAAATCTCCATGTAGTCTATTAGAATTGAGGTTCTCCTCTTCAGCCTGTGATTCCATGTTAGCATTTAACCAGTTGTTACAATTTTGTCTTAGAGTTGTTCACTTATTGGCTAAAAGGCATAATTATATTTAAATCAATTTGTTTCTATTCCCCTTATAAAGAATTGATGTGTAACTTTGTAAACTAACTGAAGGCCCAGTATAAACACACATATAAGCTTGGTCTGAAGGAATAAATTGCCAGTTATGACAATAATGTCTATAACTAGTGGTGATTATCATTCTTGGAAGTTAAGGACTAACTGGTTCTTCTACTTTCAGTCTCACTTAAAATGTGTTACAGTGTACTGTACACACACTATGTATTCTTAATAAATACAGTAACTATAAAATAGTCATGTTTATGCAAAATCTGTAAAAATCTTACTCTGAATTGCTTTTAAGTGCATGTTGGAAGCCTCTTGGAAAGTGGGTAGATACTTTCAGGGGCTCACATTAGGAGAATGAGCCTTGGAATCAGTTTCTTTTAGCCATTAAATAACAAACCAAAAAATAAAATTGAAGGCTCTTTGAAAACATTCAATATAGTAACACCGAATTTATCTCAGCTAGCAGATAAACAGCTATATTTTCTGGGAAATAAAAACAAGTGGTAAAACTTACTGAAAAAAAAAAAACTTATTCCACAGCAATTATTACCATACAAAAATATACCTTCTTAGAAAAGTGATACAGAGCAGAAGTAAGCTTCCTTCATACTATCACTTTTAACTGTAACCCATTATAATCACTATTATTTTAGTTTTCTTTTTACCCTTTGAGATTAATCCCATTGAGACTACTGTACTGTACCTGTTCCAAACTGTGCCCTGACCTCCCAGTCTATTCTTGTTTCTCATCTGCAAAGGACCAAGTAACAAAATCTAGCTTTGGCAACTGTATATGAAGTAAGAGTAAGGCTCTGAGTTGGGATAAAGTACTCGAATTCAGAGATAACTGTGTGACTGTAACTGTGTGACTGTTTTCTTCTCTTAACTAATTTTTCATACAAAAATATTTTCTCCAACGTATAGGGACTAGATCGAGGGTTATTTTTCCTTCACATTTTCCATTTTCTAACAAATGTGAAGGGAAAAAGAAATATCCAAAGTTTTCTTACAGGGAACAGATGACCTTCCAGTGAAATTCATACATAACCTGACCTTGAAGTGTATTCAGAGGATGCTATATTGCTTGTTGTTCAACAGAAATACAAATGCAATTTTTCTCCATTAAATTTATCTTAGTTGGTTTGTTTAAGATCTTCTAGGTATAAAGGGTACCAGTAAGACATGGAGAACAAAAATCCAGGCACTTTGCTATAGAAATGTAGGTTCTTTGGTCAGACAGACCTTTAAGCTAATTTTGGGAACTCAGAAATTAGTTTTGAGGCTTGAGCCCATAGAGATCCCCACACCCCCACAGATCTTCTGCAGAACAGTGCTTTTTTCTTTAATAGTTATGCTAAAATATTTTGTAAAATATGCATCTCTGTGCTACGTTCAGGAAGGTGGCCATGAGGAAAATCACCCTCCGATTCTGGTCCTTTATGTCCTCGCCCCTTCCTCCTCCCAGAAAATGTTTAAAAATGAATGCGTGTCGAATGTTCAGGGACTAAGGTCCCCTCTGCTGAATCTCTCTCAATTCTAACCCTTTAAAAGTCATCTTTTGCTATGGAATTCCTCCACGAAACCACTGCCCTCCCTCCCTCTCCCCGCCTCTCTCTCCAGGTTGCAGCTGCAGCGCTGGATTCGCCGCCCGCCCACAGGCCACCTCTTCCTCCTGGCGCAGGCGGCGGGGAGGGCAGGTCACAGGGGAGGCAGTGAGCACAGCTCTCCTAGGAGAAGGTCTCCAAGGAAAAGGCGAGGCCTTATTTACTCCGAACACCCACAACTAGCAAAGTAAACAAAGCATCAAGGAAAGAACCGGCCTGCAGACCCTGCAGACCCCCACGAAGGGCAGGTCGGCAGCTGGGTAAAGACCCGGGGCGCAAGGCCAAAGCTGCACAACATCCTTTGCCCTCATCCCCGCAAGCACCGGGACAGGTCGCCATCCCGGCAGTACGGGAGTTAAGTACTCAGGTTTCAGGTCAGTCTGCCTTCACCAGCCACCGGATTCCTTCTCTCTTCCCCCGAGTTTCGTAGGCATAAGTCGTGGCTCCCACCAGCAGGTGCCAGGTGCCCGGTACCAGGGCTGATGTGGCCTCCGCCAACCCATCCAGGCCCGGAGGGCCAGGGTTTTAGCTGCAATTGCAACAAGTCTCTTGCACGATAGAGGACAGACTGGAGGTGAGCCCTGCCGCGCTGCGGACAAAAGTGGGGTTCCGCTGCAGCCCCTTCGCTCCCTCTTCTGCCCCCCTGACGAGGGTACGGCAGCCTCCGCAAGCCCAAGGGTTGTTACAGAGCCCAAGGGTCGAGGGACGATGCTCAAGGATAAAAGCCCCGGAAGCTAGATATCTTTTTGGTCCTTCCCCCCCTTGAGACACAAGAACTCCCCTGCACGTCCTACCCGCTCTGCCTAGAAGTCGGGCTTCTGGGTCCTGAGCTGAAACTTACCCGGAGAGAGAAGACTCCTGAAACGCAGGACGAGTCGCGCGCGAAGAAGACAATGTCAGCTGCCCGCGTCTCCTCGGGCGCCTGATCTGCAAGGAGGCAGGAGGAGGCGGGGCCCAGCCCCTCTGCAGCCTCTTAGCTTTCTCTATTGTGATTGGAAACCCGAGCACCGCCTACCCCTCCCCTCGGCTCGCTCAATCCCCTTCAAGGACAAGGGCTCAGGCATGCACGCGCCCTTCCTCCCCAAATGAGGAGGTGACCTTCTGGCTGCAGAGGCGGCCTCTGCGCACTGCCAGCCTCACAGCTGATGGACTCTTCAACACCCGGACTGAGTTAGGGCTCAAACCAGGTCATCTTCCACTCTTGCGAACTTTCACACTATGTGCAGAAAGGTTTAGTCCAAATAGAAATACAACTTGATTCTGCATCCCAGGTCACATTTAAGAGGATGACTGCTCCTAGCTAAGATTTGGTGATGTGCTTCCCTGGACCAGTCCTGGCGCTTCTGCATATTTTAAAAAATATTTCTGAATTTGTAGCAACTCCATTATGAAGTTTGCTTGATGAAACGACTGTTTTTTTACACTTGAATTGAGCAAATAAGCATAGATTGTCTGTTAGTTGTCCAATAAGACCCGTGAGTCCTGCTGCCTGATCTCTGAATTTCCTTCCAAGTCTCCATCACCTCCAGCCTTGACCTTCTAGGGGGCCAGTAGGTAAGACATTGTTTCTGTTAGTGTCTGAGAAAGTGCAAAGCAGCATGGTGTGGTTTATGTGTCTTCACCCACCCCACTTCCTGGTACTTCCACAGTATTGGTGAATGAATGAATGATTATAAACAGTTAAGGTATTCTGAAGATTCAGCTATAGTTATTTTTGTTTTTATTTAAAATGCTTTCAAGTATAGCACTCTCATTAACTCTTTGTATGAGAAAGAGAATTCTGTTTGTTTTTCATACATAACTGTTAATCCTATAATTCCAGCTCAATACCTCCTCTAATTTCCTTTCAGTGCCAAGCATTGAAAGCACAAAGATTGTTACAGGGCAGGGAGAGGGGCAGCCCAGGGGACCACCCTGTTACAAGATGGCTGTAATACTGTGTCACCCAAAATGCTCCTGTTACAGGACAGGGAGAGGAGCAGCCCAAACCCCGCAAACCTGCCTATTCTAAATGGGTTCTGCCATCCACCACATCAACACAAAACATATGAGACTTTAATGGGAAGGAACTTTAATAAAACTAGGAAACAATACAGGTAAGGCAAAGAGTCTAGTTTCTAAATGAAGCACCCAAAGTTACCCGTCCCCTCGTGGGTAAAAGTCCATCCATATGGGATCGGCCCAGAGCAAGGCCCCAAAGCCTGCCACAAGTCTAAAGCATCTTCCAGTGGGGACCCACAGAAAAGGGTCAGAAACAACCAGACAAGCCCAGAAGGAAAAGAGCAAAATCAACATCAAGATAAAAGCTGCCATTGTCACCTCCCCACGGGTCTCACCCACATCTGTGTCACCCAGTCCACGACCAAAAGACAACCACAGTTTCTTCATGTGCCTCTAGGCTCCATGTGCCTCCTTTAGGTCTCCTTCTGGCTCCCTCCTGCTTCCTTCCTTCCTCAGTCTCCTCTGCAGCCTTTTCTCTCCCTGCTCAGCTCCATCCTCCATTTGGGTGGGGCAGGGAACCTGGAATCTCCCCCTTTCCTGGGACCACCCTGTTACACTCCCAGTTCAAAGGAGATAGACAAGTAAGCAAACTTTTTCAATTACAACACAATGTGATAAATGATAAGATTTGGTTAAGTACAATAAAAATTAAAAGGGTAGAGCCACAAAAAGGGGGGAAACTATGTGTCTAGAAGAAACGAAAGCCTCCAGGATTACAGTGTCAAGTTAGTGGGTACTTTGAATGACTCTGAAGATATAGTCCAGTTGAAAATTGCAACATGATGGTCAGGAGAGAAAACTTGGCAGATAACCCCAAAAGTATTACAGTCACTTTGAATCCAGGTTGGAAGCAAAATCAGCAAGAAATCTGGAAACTCTAAGATCTTTCACCTTCTTTCCAAAATACCCAATCTCCATGTGTAGATGAACTGGTAAAGAAAATGATATATGTATGCACACATATAAGTATATACACACGTGTGTTTACAAGAATTATTCAGTCATGAGAAACAAAGAAATTTTGCCATTTTCAGCAACATGGTTGGACTTGAGGGCATCATGGAAAGTGAATGTAGTCAGACAAGTAATAGAAGAGGGGTAGGGAATGGGTGATGAGAGCCAAATGTAGAAACTTCCAGTTATAATATAGTTATGTCCTAGGGATGTTGTATACAGGGTGCTGACTAGTTAGCAATACTATATTGTTTTTTGAAAGTTGCTCAGCAAGGAGATCTTACAAGTTCTCAATGTTAAAAAAAAATATTTGCAACTATGTGTGGTGATGGATGTTAATTGAATTTATTCTGATGATCATGTCCCAACATCAGGCCATGCTTTTGTCTATAATGAGGGGCACAAGAGATGGGAGTATCTTTCACTATCCAGAACAAGCCCTTTCCTTAACACCTAAGTTAATGCTAATAAGGTGACTTTGGGTGGGGGTGGGGAGTCCCTGCAAAACCTCAGAGAGGGGCTTGGTACTGTTATAGGACAAGGAGAGGGGCACCCCAGACCCCCACAAACCTGCCTATTCTAAATGGGTTCTGCCATCCGCCGCATCAACACAAAACATAGGACACTTTAATGGGAAGGATCTTTAATAAAAACTAGGAAACAATACAGGTGAGGCAAAGAATCTAGTTTCTAAATGAAGCACCCAAAGTTACCCGTCCCCTCGTGGGTAAAAGTCCATCCAAATGGGATTGGCCCAGAACAAGGCCCCAAAGCCTGCCACAAGTCTAAAGCATCTTCCAGTGGGGACCCACAGAAAAGGGTCACAAACAACTGAGTCAACATCAAGATAAAAGCTGCCATTGTCACCTCCCCACGGGTCTCACCCACATCTGTGTCACCCAGTCCACAACCAAAAGACAAGCGCAGTTTCTTCACGTGTCTCTAGGCTCCATGTGCCTCCTCCAGGTCTCCTGGCTCCATCCTGCTTCCTTCCTTCCTCAGTCTCTTCTGCAGGCTCAGCTCCAGGCAGGGAAGCTGGAAGGGACCACCCTGTTACAGTACTGGAAAGATTTAGAGATTAGAGAGTTGGTACTTTTGTAACAGGGTGGTCCCCAGGAAAGGGGGAGGTTCCCTGCCCCACCCTGGAGCTGAGCAGGGAGAGGAGAAGCTGCAGAAGAGACTGAGGAAGGAAGCAAGATGGAGCCAGGAGACCTGGAAGAGGCTCATGGAGCCTAGAGACACGTGAAGAAACTGCGCTTGTCTTTTGGTCGTGGACTGGGTGACACAGATGTGGGTGAGACCTGTGGGGAGGTGACAATGGCAGCTTTTATCTTGATGTTGATTTTGCTCTTTTCCTTCCGGGCTTGTCTGGTTGTTTCTGACTCTTTTCTGTGGGTCCCCACTGGAAGATGATTTAGACTTGTGGCAGGCTTTGGGGCTTTGCTCTGGGCCAATCCCATTTGGATGGACTTTTACCCACGAGGGGACGGGTAACTTTGGGTGCTTCATTTAGAAACTAGACTCTTTTCCTTACCTGTATTTTTTCCTAGTTTTATTAAAGTTCCTTCCCATTAAAGTCTCATATGTTTTGTGTTGATGCGGCGGATGGCAGAACCCATTTAGAATAGGCAGGTTTGCGGGGTTTGGGCTGCCCCTCTCCCTGTCCTATAACACTTTTAGCTCTTCCACTGACCTCTGGGAAGGGGAAGTGGGAGACTGAAGATTAAAACTCTGAAAACTATATGATTTGAATTTCTGATTTAGTGAACAATCCAAGAGATGGATGCACACCAACTTCATGGGGACAAATGCTTCTGTGCGCAAGACCCTTTTCTTTTTAAGATTTAAAAAAAAATTATTTATGCATACAAGAGCTGGGGTGTAGGCCAGAGGTGTGGGGCGGGGAGGTTGTTGATAGAATTCACCAGAGACAGTGGGGAGCAGAACAGGCAGGCTCACTGAAATACACCGCTGAGGGGAGCAAGTGGGCCAGACAGGAAAGGTCTGCTGTGCCATGTGGTTAGCTACCTGGCCAGGAACTGAACTTGTGCTGCAGTGGCTGCCAATAGCTTCATAGCGTGAGACTTAACCCCTTGTGCCACCAGGGAGGCCCCTCAAGACCCTTTCCTAAGCACCTGGTCATCTGATTGTTCATCTGTATCCTTTGTTCATCTCCTTTGCAATTCACCAATGAAAATTTAAGCATTTCTTCTGAGTTCTAGAGTGAGCCACTCTAGAAAATCCAACTGGAGGAGGGGTTCATGGGGACCTTTAATTAATACCTCATGGGTCAAAAGCACAGATTGGTGTGTGAAGTGGGTGTCATCTTGAGATGGAGCCCTTATTGAGTTAAATTAGAATGGGAAAATTGCTTCTTGCTATTGGAAGCCACAGCAGAGGCAGTGAATTTAAAACAGTTCATTTGGAGATAAAGCTAAATCATTCACAGAAATTTTCTTATACAATTGAATGCAAATGTCAAAAATCGAGAAAGATTATTTGTTTCAGTACTATATGAGACATGTGTTAGGCAGTGTTTGAAGGATTAAGATGGACAAGATGCCTGCTAGTGGGGGTTTATATTCTGACATAGTGTCAGAGGCAATTAATAAGTTAATAAAAATGGTAGAATAAAGTATGACATAATAATCCTACAAAAGCTGTGGAACCTTCGTGAACAATATTCTGGTGCTATGATAAAGCCTTCTGTGGAGGGTAGAGTATGCTTTATTCTAAATGGCAATAAATTGCTGTTTTTTTTTTTTTTTAACATCAATGTCTTCAAAAAAAATTATCCCCTATCCCCACATTATACACTGTTTTAAAACCATATTCATAGAACTTTAGAACAGAATAGGAGCTTGGTCATAATCTAATTCTGTTGAATACCCAGAGACAGAGTGACCAGCCTCAAGTTACTCTGAGTTAAGAATAGAACCAGAAATAGTTTTGATCTTGCCGCTATATGTGTGCCTGCCTGTGAGAATTCTCTTTCAGT